GTGACAAACCAACCACAAGAGAATCAATTATGGATGTACATGTACGTGATTGCAAAAAAATTGCCCTGCTTTCATACGAAAACACGATGTCTTCAATGAATTGTCTTTTGGTCGACACAAACATTAGTCAGTCAGCCCAGTCGATAAACCAAATATCGAATGATGATTGACTGATCGATGAGAAAGTTATGGAGCAATGTACAGCTTATAACAAGTACGGGCTCACACAAACGCCTCCTCCCTACCAGTGCATTAGTGCTCAATGGGAGCTGAAACAAGTCCTTAGAGAAGCTTAGAATTTAATTAATCTAGTCAATGTGAGTTAGAGTTGGCAATCTCCCCGAGCAAAATAGAATATTCCCAAGGCAGGGTTATTGTGCTTGAAATTAACCAATTCTGAATGGATCATTCTGCTTATTAAACTATATTCAAATCAAATCTTGACTACGATTGGATTTTTGGAAGGGGGAAAAGTGGAAATTGAATGAAAATGCTGTCAGTCCTTGTACATTTATAGTGCACAAGCTATTCATCTCTGAACTAGAAGTCGGCGCTTCATAACGGTGGCACATGTATGTGACCACAGCTTGTGTCTACAATGAGCTGTATTATGTACAAACTTTTAACAATTAATGAAGCAGATCTTGATTTACGCACATAGAAATAATCTAATATAGCAAAATATTTGATGTCAAGCGTGTTTGCTTATTTAGTTGCTTTCACTTATTACAGAAAACATATTAGGCAGACACATTTTGTGCAGATACAAACTTCAGTGATTCTTTCTATAGAATCACCTTATTATCATAACCTACTGCTAGGTTGATCTTAGATATAGTTCTTGACTGAAACCAAAGTCTAAGTTTCTTTACAGTGATTGAGTGGTCCATCTCGAGTTACGCTTCAGTAATTGAATGCGGGTTACACGTGATAAAAGCGATTAAGTTTCGATGTATACACATGTCATAACATGGAGCCAACACGTATTTTATACGTTTTAGGTATACGTATGTAATGATGGTATCGTGGAAATACGGCTTGGCAATTACAAAACTCATTTGCAGTGTGTGCGAAAATGCACCAATGTTTGGAAAAATATAAACTTTACATTACCCTATCGCACACGTCAGATTTATCACAAAAAAGATCGACTTCAACGATCACATGTCAATTTAAAATTTGACCGGAGAGAAAATCAATTTAATCCTTCACTAAATAATAAACGAAAACGGGAACAAGAAAGGTAAACAAAGCATGTATATTCGGCAAATCTAACAAGGAGTTCGGCCTATACAGCACCCGAGGAGGCGAGCCTACTACATGGAACAAAAAAAATAGTAGATCTCCGTTCAGGTGCTCAATATATTATCACAGCTCTCAAAAAGAACAAACCAAAACACGCCGGGGCCATTAAGCTATCCGTGGCATTATACAAAACGACCCTTTGCGACCTCTGCTGCAGTTGAACTATATTACATTGTTTTCTTTGTCTCGATAGGAAAATAACTGGTAGAACACTGCGATTTACATTGCATTGCCATTTAGTGGGGTAGAAATATAATGTTTACCTATTGCAAGATTGCCGTAAATAAGTTTACAAAAGTAAGAAATCAATCACCACCCTTCTTTCATATCATGAAGTAATCACTTCGAAAGTAATCAGCAGGTGTCAGGTTTAACAACACAACTAACCTTACAATATAAGGTATTTTTCGTGGCTCAAGATAGTTGATAAAGCAGAGTTATTCTTGATTTCAAGACTAACTAGCGAGCATTATATCGGACGTTTCGGTCCGCCCTTTAAGGACCTTAGCCACGTGAATAGTGATTTCGCGCCGTATGGCGGGTTTTTACAACCGATCCTGTTTAAATAACTTGCAGCAGAAACGGTGCGATATGATGCGCAGAGAAGTGTGCAAGCGGCAATCGTGACAGCGGTGCTCTAAATAACTGCATTCACTGGGATTGTGTCGGCAGCGAAAGCGTTTAGGTTGCGATGTCACCTAACGCATTGGTTTGGATTAAGTCACAGCACTGTTTTAGCGATTCGATAAGGCGATAAGGCTGTGAAGTAGCCCAAACATTGATCTTTATTTTACCAAGAAAGCTTGTGAATTGGCCGATGATACCATCTTGGTTGGTGTATTTCATGAAAATGACGAGTCTGAGCACAGGCAATCTGCGCCCTCTATAGTTAAAGTCATAATAACTCTTCGTTTTGGCCAAAAATTGGATTTTCCTGGAGTAAACGGCAATTTTCCCGTACTTACCAATGGTCAACGACCCCATTCCTGCATTCAATGTTAGTCCAGGGTTTTTTTCCTAAACGTTTGGTTTTTTGTTAAAATCTCTTAAGAGATTTTAACAGAGTATAGCCATCAATGGAGGTCACGTGGTCTAAAGACAAGCTCAGATATCAGAATAATAGCTAGAACTGCCGTTTTTGTGGTAAAACAGAATATGTTATATTCCTATGAGTTATTCACAATGTTTTTATTGAGAAATATAGATCTCATACGAAGAGTTATTATCCCTTTAACTGGTTCACAGGTGACATTTTAACCTTGAATGTTAGCAAAACGAAAAAGATGATGGTAGGCTACATAAGAAATCAAAGCTATAAAACTCCTAAAGAAATTGGCGGTGAAGTCACTAAACAAGAAACGATAATTTATTGGGTGTTTTTTAAATTGAACAATAGTGTAACATGGACTGATACAATGGAACATCATGAAATTGAGAAGGGCAAGACACCGACCGCACTTCTTTAACAAGAAATTGAAATAGTTTAGCCCCTTATAGATGCGTTATAGAAAATATTAATTCTTAGGTGTTAACTGTACGGTATGCGTGTGTAACGATATTGATTATTTTATATAAATGTATAATTTGTTGGTAAAATAAATATTTATCTTATCTTATCTTTACCTTGGATAAATGCAAAATATGCAAATTGTACGCCCTTTCCTTCTTTTGTCATTTCATGCCCAAGGAAAATAGCCAGCGTCCGCCTTTATCTTTCACCTAACGCGAGAACTTAACAGACACACCCAGAGCTGCTATAGTCAATACATGAAGAACCCGATTATAGTGTTTAACTGCGTGGATGGAAGTCCGATAAACCTTTAACAAAATCAGTCTCTTGCGAATACGTACCTTGAAACATTAGCCTCATTAAGTATCGTGACATTAAAGGTTTTATATAGGCGCATTTGGCATTATAAAACCAGCGCGGCAGGTTAAAAGCTTTCCTTGGTTTCTTGGGCAATGCAACAAGGAGTTTCAATTAAATTGATTAGTCAGTTTTCGATATATGTTCTTGGAAGTGGAGCATGCAGTAAACGATTTTATGATCTTCCGAGGTGAAGAATATCGACACTGTGTTGTTATTTACTAATGGATTAATGATTCCGGACCTGCGTTTATAAAAGTGCATGTATATCTCAGTATATGAATCCCGTTCCTCGCTTCTGTAATCTTTAACACAGCAGGATAAATTGATTTCATCTTTCGAAATGTAACTTGGTTTCGTCATTACTTAAATGCATGTCGGCATTTGTACATGTACCACTCATACTGTATATTGAAATAGCTAAATGTGGGTGCCAGATATCTTAAGACGGTAGAAATATTTAGTGGATGTGGTAAATACAAGTGACAAGAAGTTATGTTGGTGGTGAGCAGACACGTACACAGTCACAACTGTTCTTAATTATGCAATATGTTATTGGGAATGTTGATACGCACTCGACAATAATGTGTCTATATACTAGTTGTAATCAAGATGTAGGAGAAATATTAAGCCGTGTTGATACTCTTTGGGATGTTATATGTTCCCACGTGCCACACCATTGTCTGAAACTTTTATGATATCAAAGCTAATACACGTTAAGATCGCAAATAAACAATTCACGCGGGATATTCAATAAAAGTTAAAGGGCGAAGTTACCATGAATTAAATAGTACTAGATAGGTTTTGTGTCCTCTGCTTGCCGGGAGAATCAAGTATCGGCTATCGGATTTGATTGTGTGTCGACAGCGCGGTCGCTTCAATGCACACGTATTTATACAGCTGCAGTGCGCTTTTAAGAATACGGTCCCGTAACAATAGGAATAAAAGTTTCATCGACGTGAAGTTTCATATGCTGAGAAACTAATAAAGTTAATTCAGTCAACACCGAGGAGCTGAATTATTTCAAAGTCCCGGTCACATTCTAAATGGAAATTAGAACATGGTTAGCCAAGTAGAATAATTATAGAACAATTCAATAATCAGATGTCTAGCTGACCTGAAGAGCCGTCATATCCCTCAATTTATCTGTGCTTGCCAGACGAGCACAAGCGTTGAGTTTTTATGTAACGCGCAGAGAACAGATCCAGTGCCTGGGCTCAGCTCCGATTATCCACCCGATCCAGTTTTAAACAGTGAATAACACACATCTGGGCGATTGTTATAACATATGAACATACACAGAGCTTCTTTATCTTGCAGTTGCTTTCTTTGAAGGCATCTTTGATTTTTCTCCACAGTTTGCCGTAAATCACTCTTGAGAAAAATCGTGATGCTAGGGTTATTGCTTTTTGTATAAAGGAAATACTTATTGATAAATGCATTAATTGAAGAAAAGAAGCACATGTTATTAATGACAATGGCAGGTCATAAAATCTCGTCCTATCTTTGACTAAAAAAAAAAAACTCATATGAAATACATATACTTTATCTTATTTGTATGATAACACATCGTCACTAATATAAATCTATAGAGCGTAGTTTCCATCGCATTTGGCTGCAGTAGATCAGTGATGCAATTTGCCCTAACACAATTTTCTCTTTCTGGAAGTAATTTTTCGCATTAAAGTACTACGTTTGCATTCGGAATCAATTACATCCCATCTAATATCACACACTGCGCTTGTCGCAAAAGTCCCCGGATGTCCACTGATTGATCTAAAGAAAGTGACCATTAGCGCATGCTCAGTGCAGTAGAAATATTGATGTGTCGTTTGAGGCAATGGTGGAAACAGTGCCAGAACTAGACTATAGAATCAGCGTTACTCTGCCTAAGAGTTCAAACTATGCATTGTTTTTATCCTCTGGATGTCTGAATGCATCAGCATGAAATATGACGAGGAGTTGTATCGGGCTTTATTTTGTCTACGTTATATTAACATCTATACGAATCCAATGTTTTGTGTCCCGTACAGGTAAGTGGAATGTTTCTATCAGTGTATTGTTAACCAAAAACTATGTGATGCAGATTATATTGACATTATCTAATTACAGTATTAAATGGGTTTAATCAGGGTTACAAATGTGATTCTATCGGACGGATGAAATCGAAATACAAATTTTCATTAAATGTCTTTCTCAAAGGCAGAATCACATGATACCTTCCATTGTCATTTGTTGGAATAGAGTGTATAATGTATACACGTTACAAAAACAACACACCGTACTGAATGTAAGCATTCTTTCAGAACCATGAAGTCAGTGATACATCAAAATGTCATATGCCAGAGAATTTTGGCAGCAAATCTATAACTGCACGAGATCGAATTTTCACGCCTGTCCATGAGGCGTGAACTATGTCTGAGACTAATGAAGCATAATAAAGCATAATGAGAACATTGCATATTTCTATACGTGTATGGCTTAGTTTGAAATTGATCTAATTGTGCCAGTTTGGTTATTTCTTTTAATAAAACATGCTTCGTTTCGCTCTTTCTGGGCGCTTGTGTGAAAGGTTAAGTTATCTTGCCTCATCTTTTCAACAGAAACATAAGGTGTATGCACAGCCTTGAAATGACGGATTAAACGGGGACAATTCAAGCGTTCTGTTCTGGTCTCCGTAATGCGGGCACAGCTTGCTAAGGTCAGGCTTATCTGGTGCATGGGTTCGTGATACCATTAGTTACCTCACCTTGTATTGCAATCTATTTTGAAAATGTGTAGAACCATTATACATGATAATATATTTACAACCTTTAAGGAGTGATCATAAATAAAGACGCAGATGTCTGATAACTGTGATGCACTGTATATACATTTATACGTGTACTAAATGCATACATAATCATCATGTAGACCTAAGTACATGGTCTAATTTGTCCAAAACGTGCATTAGACAGGTAGGCTTCAATTCGTCAGTCGTGAAAAAGTGCCAAATTATTGAAACCTCGTTGCTCGCCTTTTCGTAAACTTACCAAAAACATCAATTGTGCGCCATGCATTGTACCATGGATATGGCATTTCTGGTGAAAACAGGGGTTTTCTATGCTATTATATTTAGATAATGCTTATTAAGCCAAATACTGTACAGATATTTCTTCAGAGCCAGCGATAAGGAGAATAATACAACACTATTGGATTACATGGTATGGAGTGCGAGAGAAAGTGCATTACTGAATTAATCATGGTCGACTAACAACCCACGGCTGTGGTATGGCGGACAAAGCCCGTCTTGAGGCGACGTGAGATAGTTCCTTAGGCGTAAGCCGAATTGTGTAACCCAGTCTCACTCCTTTCCATTAGTCCGGGAGGTACAGAACATTCCTTCTATTCATCTCAATAAATAATCGGCAAATATTGAACAGTGGAAGTCAAGTTGTGCTTCTCACCTGGTCCATTCATAACTGTATCTCAAATACCTTGAAGTTAAATATGCATAGGGCCCAGTTAAACTGCGAAACAAAACGAGGGTGTTAGTTAGTCAGGATCACCGATGTAACCTTGCACTGAGGGCAACATGTAGAAGGTGCAATGCGTCTGTACATACATCACATGCACCCTCTGCGGTCGAAGTTGAACGGATGATAACAATTGAACATGATAGATTGGGGCTACGCCTCGCGTAAGTTATCCCCAATAAACTACGTTACTTATCGCGTTTACTATCAAATAAAATTGAGCGTGAGCACCTCATTCATAAATGCTATTGAAAATATTGGTTATTATTGTTTTCTGTAGCACAAAAGGTTGATGTATAAATACAATACGATTCATGATAATGTCACAGTTTCATGGGTAGGTAGCTTTTGGATAATCGGCCTCCATTCGAAAAGTCGATTGTAATGTTTATCCCCCATTTGTTCTCAGTGCTCAATGACAACATGCACACGTGATCATACGATTTTTAATGGCGCGTCTGTCATCAATTAAATATATCCACCTTCCCCCTGTGATATAGGCTACGCTGTTCCCTTAACTCTTATCCAACTAAACCTAATAACCGCACATTCTCTCTCGACTTTTTTCTTCCTGGAGTTAATTACCATAAGGTAGCGAACTGTCGGCTTTCATAAAGCTTCATAACAAGAGTAAACAGATGACGAAAACAGATCGCGATAGTCTGAGCAGAGCTCCAGAAAGCTCGAGTCATGTTTGGGATCGCTGGCAGACGCACCCCAAACATTCAAGCTTCCTAACTAGGATGTTACTCTATGGGACTTTTGAAGGCGCTGTTGCCGTTCGGAATTGCCTTATGTAGTTGCCTACTTACATCTTGTATTCCCAATGTGGTCGGGCAGTCGGGACACGGGTGTGAACGCAAGGCCCCGAGGATGGGACGCAGGCCTTCATCCTACCGGCATAACATCTTTTTTCAAAATATTATCATTGACGAGCTGTATTTTCTTCCATTTTTGCTCAGGTTTAGGTAGCGAAGACGAAAGCAAACTGGTGGAGGACCTCTTTGACAAGACAGGTTATAACCCACTTATACGACCTGTGCAAAACCTGTCGGACAAGCTAATGATCAATTTTGGACTTACTATGATTCAACTCATCAATGTGGTAAGTAGTTACTCATAATGTGTTTATGACAGCTAAAATATTCGAAACCTCAGAACTATGGTAAACGACGTGCTCGGTTAGATTTAGAACACAGATTTAATATCCTTGATTCTTTTTTAGGTCAAGCATCTCTCTCTCTCTCTCTCTGTTTGTGTGTATACACACACACACACACGCACACACACACACGTTTATTGTCTTTTTCGACTACTTTCCCTTATTTTCAACATTACTGCACCTTATATTAGCAGAATTCTGTGCAAATTCAAAGGAATCACATAAGTGATTATTGCACCGCATATTTTTGATTTATTACATCTTACTACGAATTACACATTAATTGCTGCTGTAGCACTCCTGGAGATTGGGACTATCAAACACCATCGTGTTAGTGTGCATTTCATTTCTGTCCAGAGGAATTGTTCAATAAAGCATCTTATCAGATTTACGGCTCTCGGTTTGCTTATCAACCAGTAAGTCGAGGAAGAAGATAGATCTCTACAGGACGAAATATGGCTGTCAAGGGTGCAATTTATATTAATATCTTAGTGTATATCTGATTATTTCATATTATAAGCATGAAGAGTTGCGTGGCAGAAGTCGGTGGGATTACTAGTGGAAGTAGTGGGTATGTTTTACGATTCTGATTAAAAGATCGAATTCAAAACAAATGGGGCTTAAACCAAATGTGGTAGGTTATAAAGTGTACGCCTTCTGTTCCTAATATTCGACACCTCGTTGGTATTTTGTCATTTTAAAGCTACACTGATAGAACAAAAAAAGGAAAATAAAACACGACGTTGAATAGACAATACAAACCACGGCGTAATAATGAAGAACCAAGGGGCGCAGTATAACACGCTGATATAAATAGTATGTTTCGTGTAGACGCACAATAAGAAATGAAAAAATAGGTGAACTTCTTATCAGACTAATTTTTTGCTAAGATTATTTCCGTTGCGAGTGCCGTAAGCAGATCCCATCTCTAATGCATTTTGACACGTACAAGCTACCCATTAAAGGAAACTAACTAGAGGAATTTTCTTCCAGACATGAATTGCAGCAGTGGCTATCTAGCTCACATTATGATCTAAACAACCCTAAAATACGACACAATGTACCTATTAACCCAGAGTCAGTTACTGTGAAGGCTCATTCACTTGTGCTGCCACTGTGATTTCAATTCTGCCACCAGAATATAACGCCTGTGCAAATTGTCATTGCCTTCTACAGCACAGAATACCCCGTTAATATTTAATAAACCTCTGTGTGGCGGATCAATCTGTTAAAGTTCTAGCATTCTTCACGTTCTGGTTTTACACTCGACGCACGCGCAAACTTGCAACACATTTTCTAACCCAACAGTCTGTTTGTTTTAATCTAACATTTTCGAAGTAACTGTTAGATCTCAATGATGAGGACAGATTTCCAAACAAAATTAACAAGCCTAAGGGTGCGTAAAGGCGCCTTGAAGTGGTTTCCACTGAGAGAAGTGATGTTGGTTTAAAGCAGGGCATGATCTTTACAGGAATGTTCAAGTAGAAAAAATATGTTTTCCTTTAATGTCTTCAGTGAAGAGCACATCTGCTTCTGCTGAAAGACGCAGTTAGGTGTTCTCACCATGCGTTGCTCTACTGAAAGGTTCGAGCATAGGAAAAAAACGCTACAAGTAAAGATATACAGCATTTGCTTTCAGACAGAGGGTTAAGATTTTGTCAGGAAGTAAGGTCATACAAAAACACAACTAATCAACTTCTGATTTGTGGAGGTTATTGTATTTGGGGTTACTCATTAGAAGTAGCAACTCAGCAACAGTTGCTGTACTGTAAAGAAGTTTAAAACAGTAATCCGAAGTGCCACTTGCCAATTACAGCTACCTGATACTTACGTGTGTTATCATGTTTCTGATTTGGCCTGCCATTGGGGCTGCAGGTTGTTTAAAACAAACTAACATAAAGCCAGGTGTACAAGACCTGTAGCAATTTCATAATCACAAAGCATCTCAAGAGAATATCAAACAGCGAAGGGTCTCAAAACATTTTCTCCCATTTTCTAAATTTGCAAAATGGAATTATTTGCGGTTGATTCTTCTTTGTAACCGCCATGTGCCAGATTGCGCCATTAGACTCCGCCATCTGGATATGACTTAGGGATCGTTATATGATGATGCGCACTTTTTGGTTGACATTAAACACAGAAGTTTCTGTATCATGTTATGTCGTGATCTTGAGAATTGTATTTGGTCTGGCGTATCCAGTTTATGGGATGTAACACTGATTGAACAGCCAAGGCCTGCTCAGCTGCTATTGGGGTGCATTTAAAAGACTGCCGGACTCATTATGCTATATAACAAGTTATCTGCAATTTTATCAGAAATTGTCCTAAAACACTTAAAACAAATTTTATCCATTTTACATGGTATAAGCGTAAGCATATACAAGTTGCGTTTCCTCAAAACTGTGTGATATTGTTAAAGTCAAGGGATTAGAAGACTTCTTGTACTCTAAGGAAGTTATGACGGGAAGTAGGTTGTACGCTTGCCAGTAGATAATAGTGAAACAGTTTGGTGAACTAATACTATTTGTTGTTTAAAAACAACCAGTGCTTCTTTTCGAACTCGTTCGCTAGCAAAGTGCGGTCTGACAATTGAAAGCCTCATTCAAAAAATATCGACTGGTCTTTTTGGTCGTCTTCCACCTGGTGCCCTTTCGTGGGTATAAGAACTACATGATCAATATCCTTGCGCGTGTTTATCAGGACAGCCTCAGGCGCCCAACTTCCCACACTGAATCACGGCCGCATTTACGGCTAATCATAATTTATTGTTTATTGAATGTTCTGCCGTGTTTAATGATTTTTATAAAACTGTACCCATGAGAGAGAACGAAGGATCGCATAGCATCTGTAACATCATTGCGGTTCTTTATTGCTGATCTCTTTTTAGCGGTATCAGTTTCGGGTCGATTTGCTCGTTTCGACTGTCTAGACTATGTCTTTATAAGTGTTATATATTTTTAAAATGTTACTAGTTCGTGTCAACACCACATGTTGATTTAATTCTATTCTGTTATATCACAAAAACAGTTTATTATTTCTCTGGGTTAACGAATTGGCTAATTTGTACCTCTATTAGAAATGCGTGTATCAATTTTAAGACCATTTATCATATGAATGACGTCTTTTTTGCAGGACGAAAAGAATCAAATCATGAAGACTAACGTATGGCTGCAAACGGTAAGTGACTTTATTGACCAGTATTGGCTTAAATGGCCCTAGCGGTAAAACAATCTTAATAGATCAACTGGTAATATTCGAAGCTACTACTGTTCTTCCCTGAGGAGTGTAAATTACACATATTCATGTAATAACGACTTTAACATATCTGTCGACAAAAGGGCAGATAAATAAAAGGAAGGCATTCATTACACTGTTTCATATAATTCAGTGGTTGCTTCTCAGATCGAATGTGTAGATATTTCAAACATCGAAATATACTTCAGAAAGAAATAAACACACAGCAGTAAAAAAAGAACAAGACATGTACACTTGCTAGCTTAGCTAAAATTCACTACGTATTCGTTTCCAAACTCAGAAAACCCGTTAATGAAGTCGACTATGTGATTATGACGGGTAAATATGCACTTGGGACTTGGAGTTTCTCGTCATTTCCGTATGACCTATGTCTAATCTGGAATTCTTGTAGCTTTGAAGTCGAATCATTGATTGTGGCGATGTGAACATTTTTCCACGAAACGGTATCAATTCTGAAAAAAAAAAAACATCGAAGAGACAGTTCGTCAGGTCTTTGTTGCCTTCATATAGCTTGAAGATGACCTCAGAATAATTCACAAGATCATGTTTTATATTCATTCACTCCCACATACTGTCCCTTAAGCTAACCAAGTGTGGTAAATTATGACTCCTAAATCACGCACATTTGAATATATCCCATATACATGTATGCACTCTTGTAGACGCGCATACATGTATATGTGAGTGCAAATATATGCACTTATTCATTAGGTATGTGAGAATCTTGGATACAAGAGAACGCTCAGGCACATTACATACTGAACACGCACGTACATGTATTTGCCTGGGCATTCGCATACGTAGGCCTGCAGGCCCTGTGCAACATCGGGGCCGTAGCCTCCGGGGGGGGCAGGGGAAGCAGCTGCCCCCCCTGGGATTTGAGGCGCAAATATGGCAAAATGGCAAAATGAACCCACAATTTTTGACTTCTGATTGAGCAATAAATAACAGTTAAAATGCACCAGAATGCAGTATTATACATACAGTTTTTTAAAAATTTTCCACACCCACCCCACCCCCTCGGGGGCTTTGCCCCCTCGTGTCCGCTTACTGCCCCCCCTGGCATTTTGCTCAGGCTACGGCCCTGAACATGTACAGCCGCCCATTGTAACACTCCATTTTCACAATATACATATTGGTGAACCGCACCTTTCACGCCGCCACGTGTCTGTTTTACTCTACGTGTGAATCACCAAACACCCCAGGCTAAGTATTCTTTATCTGTGAGAATATCGAACAACAGCAGCAACATGTTAGTTTAAGTAGTCGCTCTGTTATACATTGTTGTAACAGGGAGTGGTAATATACCCACAAAATCTAACCGAACATTCATTCTATCCAAGGCAATCCTAATTACGAATAAATTGTACATGTATTGTATGCTTGTACATGTACTTGCTCAGGAAACGGAGTGAATAATTCAGGGCCCGGGTGTTTTGGGATGTTAAAACAGAGGCAAATTGAACATAGATTAATGATGCGCGAAGAAGGCTTAAAGCTATTACAATGAATTAGTTTGGCGTGGGAGAATGGTTTGGCAGAACGTGCATAGATTTCATAATAGAGGTAATTCCGAACACAAGTGTAATGATCGTATAATGTTGGCAAGTGCCTGGTGTCGGTCACGGCGTGCAAACCAGTCTGAATACCAGAGGAAAGATCACATTTTTGGAAGAAAGAAGTCCGTGATCCTCATTTTCAATCATATGAGGTATGCAAGGAAGATGAAAGTCACACTGGTGGGTTTATTTTAACAGGTGCAGTGTATGACATCGCCATACATGAGGCGCAGTGACCATTTATAATGGCTAGCGCAGACATTCGTTTCCTGATGTCTTTCTTTCGGTTATCTGAATGTTTATGTAATGCAAATCTTTGATAACAAAGCACCTGCCAAAATACCAAAACACGAGGAACTTTTGAGAACTGAAATAACCTTTCTATAACAGCCATGCATTGTGCGCACCGAAATGGCGTGAAAAGACCAAACTAATTATTTGGTTATTTTAACCTAACGATTTTGATCAATTTCTCTGTCAATTATCTTACTACTTTTTATCAATATTAATTGAACCCTTGTCAGTGGTCTAAACCGAAGGTCGACAAGAGTCGGGAGACATCGACTACCGCCTTTTGTCGAAAACAAAAAGAACAATGCACACTAAATCTGATGATGAATTGTCACAATTCAGTGCCTAGCTTTCTCTTTTACTTGATTATGTCCTGTACTCGCGCCATTTTCTCTCTAAAATCAATAATTAAGTATCAAAGTATACGTTTTTCTGCTGCTGAACTCAGAAGACCTTATCGTGAAGCCTTCATGCTTAACATTTTTATGATTGATAGACTAATAGGGAACTATATACCTTTGACAAATTTGTAAGACCGTGCCCATTTAGAACGGTCTTATTCTCCTCCAACAATATGTAATTAAATGTATCTGCCCTATTTAATCTATTCTAAAGTTAATCAATAAGTATACATGACTGGGGATTATGCCCAAAGGAAACTGGGAAGTAAAAGGGCGTGCTTTATAGTGTGCACCTTGTGTATACAAACATAACCGATTGGAAATCATACTTATATACAAACATCATTCACTTTTCCTGTTAATGGCATCTTAAATGGCTATCGATAAACAATACGCTTTTCGATTGTTACACTTATAGATGCTATTGTGTTAAAATCGGATTAAGAAAGGGGTGATTTCGCTGAGATTACATCGGAATAAATTACACTATATTGCCATTTGTGCACAGTGCAGTTGAGGGGTACTTTGTTTTGTCAAAAGATTCTTATGCCAGTATAAGTCAGCGCAATGATTCTTGGGCTTGCCAGAAGATTTTTTGAGTTTCTCTTTGGGTCTCATTTAACTACAATTTGCAACGGTTGCAACAAAATTCATCAAAGATGTGGGCCCATTGCAAGGTGAATTTCGTTCACTGTGACTCTGGTCCAGGGCAGGCTCTGAGGTTATCATGTCAACCATGCAGTTTCTGTCTGAAGCTTTTGTGCACTTGTTTGGACTTATACAATTATTTCTATCCTTTAAATAATTAAAATAGATTAATTCATTGAATTTAGTTGTAAATTGAAAAAACATTATCAATTTAGCATTTGCACAATAGCTATCAATTAGAATTCTCTTAAATATCCCAAGTTTTTTTTCTGTATTTGGGTTAATCCGATTCAGAAGGCCACTTCCATGCATAATTTTGTTCACATGGTCTTACTCTTTGATAAGTGGTTATGGTTAAAAAAGTGAACACCTGGTGTGGTGAGAAAGTTGCCTGTTTTAAACGTGTTCATTTAAGTTTATAAACACAGCCTATATAATTATTTGTTTGCAGTTTTGGTGAAGCATGGTAAGCGCCTAAGCTCCTCGCGTCCTGCATGATGTGATACTCTCGAATGCCACCATGAATTTATCTTTTTATTCATTTTTCTCGGAGGGGGATGGGTATTAGGTAATGCTGCTTTTGTTTGATGGTCATTAGGTAAAGTCGATTTCGTATTATTGGTATGATGCCGTTTACGAACGATTGGCCCACAATAAATGTAGTTGACATACTTAAATAGGCTTCTATCCTGGAGAGAAAAACATCGCCGAGAAGATCATAGGCCGTAAAATAGGTTAGATACTTTGCGGAACGCAACTTACACAACATTTCCATAGATTTTTAGATCGATCTATCCCTGTGGGGAGTCTCACTAGATTACTGTCAGCTTGGCCGGCTTAAGCGTCTGTCCCGCCTACTAAAAGCTGTAAGGGGGTAATTATGTATGGTGCTCGCTCGGCTGACTGCAATTTAGCGTGAACCCCCAGGGAGTTAGGTCGATCTAAAACTTAATCTTTAGATCGATCTAAATCTCTGGGAAAGCACCCTTAGAGCTAAGATTCATAGCAGTTTTAAGCAAAGACCGATTTTTAACTTAAGCTGTTCTGTGAAACATTCCATCATAGTAAAGTTTGTACTTAAATGCTACGTACCCTAATAAGAGACCATTCCCAGAGAATATCGTACTAACTTTGGATCGAACTATCTCCAAGGGAATTCTCGCTTAATTGCAATTAACTTGGGCGGCTTAGATGTCTGTCTGATAGGGGGTAATTAACTATCGTTTAGCAGCTTTAGTAGGCGTACCAGACGTCTAAGCCTCTTGGGCTGAACGCAATTTAGCGAGGGACCCCCTGGAGATGGACCGATCCTGTTAGATCGATCTAGGGATGGGAACCCAGTCTAATCCAATCTCCTGTATCTCCCCCCAGGTGTGGTATGATTATCAGCTAGTGTGGGACCCTGCAGACTATGGAGGGATCTCGTCAATCCGCGTACCCATGGACAAAGTATGGACTCCAGACATTGTCCTGTTTAACAAGTAAGTGGTTGATATTTTTATAATTGCATGGGTGATGTATAGCCTCGTATCATGTTGTAAAACTCATTGTGCATGTTGTTATAAGTGCTATATTGGACGTTGTATGCTTGTCGACTTCACTTATACCTTTTTCCCCTCTATACAACAGCCACTTCTAACCCCCAACCCTGCTTGTCTACTAAGTAGTCCTTTAGTATTAGTTATCTCAGTTAGCAGTCTACGGAGTGCGGGATGCATACGGTATAGCATGTGATACAACCTAACCGCACGTCATTAAAACAAATAGACAACTATTTCGAGCTAGTCACTTTCGTACCACACCATTTATACTGGGTCATTAAAAGCAAATGGCTCACTGTATGTCTGCCGCACGTACTGAAATAATACCTGTTTCTTTTAATGCTATCATAATCTAATAAATGATAATGATTTTCGAATTACCTATGCAGGCCATACAATGAAGCTTACGCTCGACCAAACACCTCCCACGCTTTTGGTCGCGCGTAGGCCTTACCAGTAACATTTCCTATAGTCGATTTCATTTGTTTTAGTTTATTCCACTGAACCAAAACGTAAATCTTTCATATTGTGATAAGGAGGCAGTAATATAGATTGTAAAAGGAGACATTTTCCAGCAAGCTACTTGTTAGTGCTATGCTGGGACACGGGTGTATTTACTTCCTCTACGTTGGAACAACGCAGCGGGTTTTCGGGGGTTTTGTCGAGCTTTTTTCAAGTTCCAGTTCTCATCTCTTCGTGTTAGTCTTCTTGGTGAAGGTAAGCCTTTGTTTTTTATGTTTTTGTATTACGTTTATTTTATAACTTTGAGTAATTTTGTTATATATACATTAGACTTTTATTATTATTATTATCATTATTTATCACACTATCTGATTTTTGTTAATTCATAATGGTCGGCTAAGGCCATTCAACTTGTAAGGTGCTCTTGGGTAAAATAAGCTATACACGTCAAAATTATTTTAATAACATTTAATTTCTTCTGCTATGTGTTGATACTCTTTGTCATTCACGTTATTGATTTACAAACTTGATCCCCCTCTAAAAACAAAGAAATACAAGAGTTTGCAGACGGTACAGAATAGTGCCATACACCAAAGTATGGATAATTTCACAGGAGGGCTGTTTTAGATATTTTGTTAGCATTTTGTGTTAGAGCGCAACAGTGTTTTCACTCTCTGTGTCACTTCCATGCTGCACCGTCCAAATGTAAACTGGTCTCACACTTGACAGTTCCTGTCTCTAAACTTATCTTTATAATCTTTTTTATCATATTGTAGTCAGGCAACGTTTGTAGGTCATACTGCTCCAAATGTTTATGCACACATTTATTTGAACATCGTGGTTTTCCAGTATTTATAAGAGACGTAGTCAATGTTACATTCTTTTTAACCATTTTTGACGTATATTGCATGTTGTGCTAAGATGAAGACAATACACGTACTATCAGGTGCTACATTTCATACTGCCAACACATTATATGAAAAATTACCTTTCGCTTGCATAGCAAACACTTTGCAGTTTATGAAGAGAGTAAAATGTGCTTTGTTCCTCAGGTCATGCTTTGACGCATCAAAATGGCGAATCGGGTAACTCACGGGCAGTGACACGATGCTAGCAGGGAAGAGACGGGTTCTTTAAAAATAACAGATGGGGAATGCGTATTTAAAACTGAATGCAACACTGACCGCATACATGTACATGTATCAGCTGTTCGTATTAAATGTAATTTTTATTTCCAGTGCTGATGGAAAATACCAAGCTTCTTATAGATCTAATGTAGTAATCTACAAAGATGGACTCATGCTGCACGTCCCTCCAGCCATTTACAAGAGTGCCTGTCAGATTGATGTGCAATATTTTCCATTCGACGAACAAGAGTGTGAAATGCGAATGGGTTCGTGGACATTCAATGGCGACCAAGTCGGGTTTTTGTGGCACATGAACTTATCCGAAGTGGATTTTAATGACTATATGCCAAGTGGGACTTGGGATATACTAAGAGGGCCCGGGCAGATTGTCGATTTCCCCCCAAAGGACGGCAAACCAATGGAAACTAGAGTTATATTTACAATTAAGATAAGGAGAAAAACATTATTCTATACTGTGAATTTGATAATACCATGCGTGTTGATCTCCTTCCTAAGTGTCGGAGTGTTCTATCTACCATCGGACGGAGCAGAGAAAATAACACTTTGTATTTCTATCCTTATCGCTTTGGTAGTGTTCATACTACTGGTGTCTAAAATGCTTCCTCCGACGTCACTGACGATACCACTCATTGCCAAATTCCTGCTCTTTACGTTTATCATGAACATATTGTCTATATTCTCAACTGTGATCATCATCAACTGGCACTTCAGGTCGCCCAGATCTCACTCTATGCCAAAGTGGGTGCGAATTGTGTTCCTGAATTATCTCCCACGGCTCCTGTGCATGAAGAGACCAAACCACGAGGAGCAGTATCTTAAGGGCCTACGGCGGGCTGAGCAAAAGCAAGAGATATACACTCATATTGACCATAACAGGGACAGTAAGCCATATGGCCTGTACACGCCTAGCCCAAGAAACGAACTTCTTGAGTTATCAGAACTACACAATCTGGGTCGCTCCCCCTCACGGGATCGCAATAAGAGGACTTACGGTAACTCTCGCAGTCCTGAACATAATAGCTTGCCAGCGGACTTTTATGATGCCGCAGATAATGTCCGTTTTGTTGCCCAGCACATGCAAGATCAAGACGAATACAATGACGTGAGTATGAACAGTCTTTGGGCTTTGGACGGCACTATTGGATCCAATACGCACGTTTACCCATGGACGCTCATTAATTACTGTTCTGCTCTTACTTAAGAATATTAGAAGTTACTAGCAACTATTGGTTGGTTCCATTACCTCATGTAGAATTCCTTATGTAAGACCTTGGGACAGCACATCGGGCGCTTTCCAGCGTGATCGTCATCATGTTTTACAACGTGGTCCAAATACCTGAAAATACGACTACAAAGTTCAACAAAAAGTTATTTAAACTTTACAAATTAATTTTGATATTCCTTCTGTTTTAGATTTTAGAAGACTGGAAGTATGTGGCTCTGGTCATTGATCGTCTACTTCTGATGATATTCCTGGGTGTCAATATTGCTGGGACTTCGGGCATATTTCTTCAAGCTCCCAATATATTCACTGCTGTTGGAGAGGGATCAGTGAAAGCGCATAGCTAGTTAATAGACACTGTTCTTCCAAACACTAATTTTAGAGATAGTTATCAATTTTCCATTATGAGGGGCACTAGAAAAATCAAACTTTTGACTAATATATCGTGAAAACAATGAAACCCAATGAAAGTAGACCGTAATGAAACTAGTGTCTAGACTGCATCTTTTGGTGCGAGTTTAACACATAAAGTGTCCGAGAGGGCCAGCTACATTTTTGCTGTAGCTGTATCCTTGCTGTTAGTCAAGTTTTATACATTGTGAGATACCATTACCTCTCTTGTGCAATTGTAATTTCAAAGTCAAATGTTAAATTAAAACGGCGCGTAATTCGGTAGTCTTCCGTTATGTATCCATCAATGTAAAGTGACAGAAACCATTTTATTTGTTTAATGGCTCTATACTCCCTTTGTTAGCAAAGAGCGGATCCACAGCGCCGTAGAGGTTGGTTATGTGTACAGTGATTGGTATAAACCCGTTTCTCCTTGGTGGTGAAAGTAGATGTGTGTTGTATATAGTGGTCAAAATTGTCAAGCAAATATACATAAAACGTCGTTGGGTTTCTGTATAGCAATTAAGGAAACTGATGTATAAGATAACGCCATGAAAGTTGTTATTCAAAATATTTTTATATGATTCAATAGTAAGTAATGAACTGTGTGCACGTGGAAGTCTCTTGTCGCGTATTGTCTTATTGTTGTAACATTAAGCTGTGCAGAAAATGGTGTTTGGTTCTTGAAGGCCCGCATTTAACGTAACAATTTGCGCTAATCAATTTTTTCTCGAGAGATACTAGTACTGGTGCATATAGTTGCCGATTAACAATAAACGTACACTATAAAGCCTTTCTAGATGCAGTGACGATATATAAGTATTTATCTATATGATTGTGATTTATTAGTTATTTTATCATTTGCACAATGGCAGTACGTCAACTTTGTACTATGAAATAAGATGCAACATAAAATGTTCTTTTTATCATATTGTACAAGAAGGTTCTCTTCTGGTTATTTTATAGTTTGTCACAATACGCTATTTAGTAGACTTGGCGGACGTTAAACTACTATTATGTAGACGTCGCGAATATGAGCTTGGTTTAAAGGCACTGCAATGTGGCAGACGGAAATTGAAAACCGAAGATGACTAGTTGTGTACACGGGGAACAGATGAGACATCCCAAAAATCGAAGAACGAAACCGGATAATCATCTTTAAAAGGTACATATGAAAGTTAATTGATGTTTTGGTGGCATTTACATGGGTAAAAAAAATGCACACATATACTGTATACACTGTATACGTACTGTGATGTATATTCTCCCACGCGCATTTCGCTCTGTTTGTGTTGCAAGTCACAAGGTGCCGCCACAGGCCCTGTGTAAGTGTCCTTTTTTGTTGTTGTCGCATGCTTTCTGTGCTGCAGCTGCAATGTCGCACGTTTCTGGTCGCAAAAATCGTCATATCGCCACCTGTTGTTTAGAATTTGCCTTTATGCAGTTAGGGCCACATTAGCTAGCCGGCGCAGCGTAGCTCTATCCCAATAGCAGAGGCATATATTTTGTATTTCTTGATTTATTTGGTACTTAGAATTATTATAAAAATTACCTATTATTGCATATCTATTTTAGGTTGTGAACTATTTTGATTTTTGGTTCATAATTGAAACATTTAGTATGTTTCTTTTTATTCCTTAGAAAATAGAATTAAATTAGTACTAATTCAATACAATAATTTAGATCAGCAAAATAATCTTTCCATATCATCTGTGCAA